TGGTTAATTCATTATTTTTACCTCCCTTAATTAACTGCAAAAAGAGCTGGCATCCCTGAGTATGTGTGCATATATAGCCAACTATTTTCATAATTTACTTGTGAAAATCAGGCAGCTTTAAAGTCTTTTAAAAAAGTCACTAGTCTGTTGATAGGCCACTAATCTCTGTGGAAATTCAGTTAACCTCCTGCTGACTTTTTCCCTTTCTCTTTCCCCGTGTTCTTGTCTCTACAGAGGGTCTAAATGATGTCATATTGTACCACCAGCCCGACGACAAGAAGAAGAATCGGGGTTTCTGCTTCCTGGAGTATGAAGACCACAAGACGGCAGCTCAGGCCCGTCGCCGCCTCATGAGCGGAAAAGTGAAGGTTTGGGGAAACGTGGTCACCGTGGAGTGGGCTGACCCGATTGAAGACCCAGATCCAGAGGTCATGGCCAAGGTAAGGTATAGGTTCAGGGGTCATTAGTAGTTTGTGTGGCCAGATTTGTTTCCTTATTGGCTCTCGGTTGCTGATGTATTTGTTCACTTTTCTGCAATGTAAACAGAACCTTTCTTCCACCTATAGGTCAAGGTGCTGTTTGTGAGGAACTTGGCGAGCACGGTGACAGAGGAGATACTTGAAAAAACCTTCAGTCAGTTTGGCAAGCTGGAGCGGGTGAAGAAATTGAAAGATTATGCCTTCATCCACTTTGAGGAAAGAGATGGAGCTGTGAAGGTATTGACGAATAAAAAGTTATCACTGCACCAATATACAATACTTTTATCATGAGCTTAAATATAAGTTTGTAATTTGAGTAACAAAATAATCTTACCTTCTTGATTACTTTCATAGGCTTTGGCTGATCTTAATGGCAAAGACCTGGAGGGAGAGGGCATTGAGATTGTCTTCGCCAAGCCCCCTGACCAGAAGAGGAAAGAGCGCAAAGCCCAGAGACAGGCCGCCAAAACACAAATGTAAGAGGGAACGATGTAACTCAAATCAGAGATGTTAAAGCATCTAACAAATCGAGTTGGTGTACTAATATACATCAACTCGACAACTATAACACGTCCTGTGTGTGTCCAAATGATGACATCATTACTACTGTATGCTGGAGTGACTTAGGTTACTGTGATGGTTTACCGCTAAGATCTGACTGGACACTAAACATGGTTAATTCATTATTTATACCTCCCTTGATCTGCAAAAGATTTAGAGGAAACGATGCAACTCAAACCAGAGATGTTAATTCCATGCAGTAAACACATTTGTTTAAATTATATATATATCAAGCAAGATGTCCCGTTAACATTGAGTTCGTATTATTTTTCAGGTATGACGAATACTATTATTACGGGCCTCCCCACATGCCACCACCCACGAGGGGCAGAGGCCGAGGCGGGCGGGGAGGTTATTCCTACCCTCCTGACTATTACGGCTATGAAGATTATTACGATTACTATGGATACGACTACCACAACTACCGGGGTGGCTACGAAGACCCGTACTACGGCTATGATGACTTCCAGGGGTCTGGCAGAGTACGAGGAGCGAGGGGAGGAGTCCGTGGCAGTGCCAGTCAGACCAGGGGCCGCGGTGCCGTTACACCTAGGGGCCGTATGGGCTTCTCTCAGCGAGGAGGCCCTGCAACAAGCAGAGGTAAATTTAGCTTTTCTGTGTGATGTTAGTTTGAAAGTAGGTTGAATCCAATTAGTCACACTGCAGTTACTAATGAAGCTTGATTTTTGCTATGCTAGATAATTATTGCACAGTAGTGGAAAGCAACTTCCATTTGCTTAGGTTTATTTTAAGTGAGCTCAGTCTTTGTCTTTATGGTCTCTTTTCTTGGATTTGGGTCAGATATCAAAACAACCAGTTAAGAGGAATGACAAGGATGTAATAAGGAAATAAGGTGAGGATATTTATTTTCTAGAGCAGTGATTCTCAAATGGGGGTACGCGGACCCCTAGGGGTACGTTGGGGTACTGCAGGGGGTACGTGAGATTTAAAAAAAGAAAGGTTAATTAAAAAAATAATGTTAGTAAAATAAGTTGAATAGAAAACACAATTGTATATAAAACGTAACTAGAACCACCAAGGGGGTCCTCGTATTAACATGTCAAATGTGTGTATTGTATTTTATTGTTTTTCACAATAACATATTACTTAAATTGAAAAATCTGTTTTATAAAAGTGTTATGTTGTTTTTTTTCATGCATAAAATGAAAATATCCTTAGTTTGTTGTAATGCATACCACGAAGGAGTTAATAAATCACACACTGAGGGAACATCACTATATTGTAATTATTTATATAGGCTTTATCGATCAAAAATGTTTGGTGTCGGTCAGGGGGTACTTGGCTGAGAAAATGTTTCAAAGGGGGTACACTACTGAACAAAGTTTGAGAAGCACTGGTCTCGATTGTATTTAATGATGTTTAAGTAACTACAATTTTCCACGTCAACTGAATTTACACCTGCCTATTGGCATCATCACTAATCCCTGACCAGTGTCATCTTTCAGAGCAGCCAGTCAGTTTCTTGCCAGTAAATAGAGGTCATTCACAATATACTTTACTCTTAAGTAGGCCAGCTACGTCCCACCCCAGTTGCAAAACACTCTTGTTCTAAATGTTGTGAAATTGCATTAATCTGTGGGAATGTGTGCAACATGAACGTCTGGGTTTTCTTTTCAAAACTATGTACTCATTTGAACTTTCCTCTCATTGGTCCAGCAGGGAAACGGGGCCGAGGGCGGTCCTGACCTGTCACAGTGGATTCTGACTTGATGTGTGGTGTTACACCGTAAGCTGCAATGGATGTTGAAACAAAAAAGAGCAAGACAAAAAGGTCCAATGATATTCCAGCCTTACAGAAGAAGCATCTCCCCTCCCCTCTGTTTTTTTTTTAACTTGTTTATGAAACTGCCACCTTAAAAAGATGACCGGAGGATTCTAAATACTCGCCACAGCCTCTTTGCCCCGAGCCCCCTAACGTAGCCCTGATTTACAGGGCTCTTTGTATTGCCCTTACAATCTACCCCTTCCCTGTCCCCAAACATGCCATTTTTAAATAATTATTGAAGAAATTGCACTTTTAAGTTCTAAGGTTTGAAGTGGCTCAAAGGAGCTTGATGCTATTGTATATTTTTGTGCTAATCGCAATTTTTATTGTCGGAATATCCATGTTCTTAATCGTTTGATCTGGATGTTTGACAGAGAACATTTGCAGGTTTTTAGGGTGTACCCACCTGGCATGGATAAGTCAGGCATTCCAGGAAAGTGGTTCTTTTCAGAACTTGTCTTTAAAGGGTTGGTTGACTACCTCAGTACAGAGGACTAAACTACCCAGCCTGTACTGTAAATAGGGAAACTATATTGATGAAAGCAGGGCTCGTTTTCATACAAAATATGCACAAGAGCTGTAGCGCAAAAAACAATGTACTTAATGTAATATAGTCATTTTAGTTGCAGCTCTGACACTGCAAACAGTCAAACTGGACATGCAAAACTATCTCATATGATGAGTCTGAACAAGCCCTGCTTTTATCCTATTTTGAACTGAATTAGCTGCCTTGCTTCTTCAGAGTATGTAGTTACTGGTTGTATAGTTTTTCGGATAAAATGTTACTTTTGTAAAGGCTTCAACATCACAGGCATCCAACTGCCTTTGATTAAAAAAAATAAAAAACAAAAATAAAGCCCTGCAGTGTCCCTTTTGTGCCACTGTTTTATTCCAGTGGGTTTGTTTTTATATTGATATCAATTCATTTTCAAACTTAGAATTATGTTAATCAACCTAATCCAATCCTTCATCTATAAATATCATGTTACTCATGAATGATCCCTTCCCAACTCCCAAAACAGCAACTTTGTAAAATATTTTTCTAGTTATTCTTGTTAGATGACTGAATTGCCATATTGCCCAGCCAGTGAGCATGTGTGCCTAAAGTGAGCTGTTATGAGTTGGTAAGGGATCATAGTCACATAGTGGTGGAAGGGATACTGCAGTGAAGGATTTCTATTTCCCGGGTATAGCAAAAAGGAAACTGCTCTTCAATCCCAGTTTTCTATACAGTTAACTCCCTCAATAAAATCATAACAACCACCTTTTGAAAAAAAGATGTTAGCAGTTTTAAACTATTGTTGGTGGCCAACAACGTTTTTTGCATTCCTGCAAATAAATTGTTTTATACTGTAAAATGGAGGTGAGTGTAACTTATTTTTGTAATAAAGTTTTTGATTTCTATCTGTGTCTTAGTCTTTGGATAAAATCTTCATGTGGTGCAAATGCTCTGCTATTATCTAGCCTTTGATTCAGTTTGTCTGTCTTTTAAACTACACATTTGTATTTAATCAGTGATTTAAATGTCTTACCTTGGGATATGAAATAAATGCGATAAGTGTGCTTAGTTTAAAAAAAAAAAGAGCATATTTTCCCCTATACTTCGGAGCAGGCATTTCTGTGACTCCGTTCCATTTTATTTTTTTAAAACTGGAAGCCATAGAAGTGGCAAAACTAGATAGATTATCTCTATAATTGCTACAAATAGCTCCTCAAATGCCCGGACATTTCAAAATACTACAGTCAAAATATTTAATTCAGAAACTCACAACCCAAAGGCAATGAGGGTAAGTTATTGCGTGTTTACTCCAATAGACAATTGTTTACTTATGGTTGCCCCATACAATGCAATGTTGACCTTTTAACAGTTATATTGGTTTGGAGCAACCTCATGTTTCCCTTCATTTATTTACTGAAGGCTCATTTGTACATTTATTTGGCCGTACTAGCACATGAGAATAGCTAGCAGGCCATGACTTAATGGTTCGGCGCAATGTTTAACAGTCTCACCGTGTTTATATTATTTAAATACTGAATGAACATTTTCGCTGTAACTAGGCTATTTCAAGACCTCTGCTAAAAAAAAAAAAATCGGCATTAAAAAAAAAGCCACTGTCGCCTCGGCTTCGTCTTGCGAACTGTTTCTCCTATTCGTGTTTTACGTCATGATTATTTGAGGTAGTGCGATGTAAGCTGATATAGCCTACTTGTTTTTCCCCTCTGTAAACTACAGTAACCTTAGCCAGCATGTTACAGGCTGCTCACAGCGGAGGTGACATCACAAGTCTCCAGTCAGCGGGCAGCCAATGTTGCCCCTCAATGGTTAGAAATGACAGCTCGAGCACCGCAGCCATTATGCAAACAGGAGTTAAAGGACCGTCAACACCATACATCCATGGTCAACACAGAGGATGCTGAGTTATTATCTCTAATCCTGCGGTGGCTAACAGCTGTGTACGGCAACGTCATCGTCTCTCCTACGCTGATAGTATAAACGAGAAACATGCGCATTTATTCTATAAATTCATCATGGTGTCGCTGCTGGACTTCAATGAAAAATGGCCCTTAAAATCCACCGTACCCTTACAGTAAGTGCAGTTGATACATTTAATGACTATAACTTGCTTAATGTGTAGCCTTACATGAGGAAACCGCACAAAATGATTATGTTTTTAATATGACGCAGCAGCACGCCCTTATTTAGATAGCCGCTCCACCATTTATTTTTCTTTTTTTTACAGTGTTATGAATTAAGCGTCATGTGAAAAGACTCCACAAAGCGACTAAGATGGGATGCATCATGGTTTTCCTGCAGAGCATAAGGCGCAGGGTGAAGCTGGACCGGTTCAGAGAGCTGGGCCGACAGTATCCAGTGTTCTGCTTTCTGCTGCTGGTCCTGCTGCTGTCCACTGTGCTTTTAAACAGGTCAGTATCTGAACAGCAGGCTGGCTAGTAATTACCCAATGTTACTCTTTATGGCTATGACATCCCTAACATATTTCCCTGTGTTTATTTATTGCTAAGGATGTATGTTTCTAATGTTTTCACAGATATATTCACATTATGATGGTGTTTTGGTCCTTCCTGGCTGGAGTCGTCACTTTTTACTGCTCTACGGGGCCTGAGTCTCTGCTTCCCAACATCTTAGTCTCCATCAAACCAAAAAACAAGGTACTTGATGAAGCAAGAAAGACTGAAAAGAGTTGTAAAAAATAAAATGTCACAGTATTTGTGACTCAGTGTTCAAGGCTTGTATTAGTCATAGTACATAGCTACTACTACAGTGTAGTTATGACGATGACAATCTTAGGTCACAGGCTCCTCCAACAGTGCAACACAATAAAACAGAACAAATGGTGCAAGTACATACAAAAAGTAAAATAGTGAAATAGTGCAATAAGAGTCTACAAGTGATTGGAATATGATATATCAGATAAATAATTTGTAAATTGCAGCCAGATGAATGTTATGGATGTTTCAAAAGTTCAGGTGTTTAATAGTCTTATGGCCTGTGGGATGAAACGGTCCCTGAGTCTGGTGGTTTTAGTCCGGATGCTGCGATACCGCCTGTCAGACGGCAGCAGACAGAACAGTTTGTGGCTGGGGTGATGGGGGTCTTTTATAATCCCGAGGGCTTTCTTCCTGAACTGCTGGGAGTAGAGGTCCTCTGTGATGGCAGCTCTGTCCTGGTGATGATCTGTGCAGTTTTCACCACCCTCTGTAAAGCCTTACGATTAAGGGCGATGCAGCCGGTCAGGAAACTCTCTATGGTGCACCTGTAGAAGGTCAGGATGCTCTCTATGGTGCACCTGTAGAAGGTCAGGATGCTCTCTATGGTGCACCTGTAGAAGTTTCAGAGTATCCTGGAGTCCACGTTGAACCTCCTCAGCCTGCGGAGGATGAAGAGCCGCTGTCGAGCTTTTTTGGTGATGGTGTTAGTGTGAAGAGTCCATGTCAGGTCCTCAGTGATGTGGACCCCGAGGAACCTGAAGCTGCTGACTCTCTCCACCATTGATGGCTATGGGGGGCGTGCCCCTCTCTCTGCTGCTTCCTGTAATCCGCAATCAGCTCCTTGGTTTTTCTGACGTTGAGATGGAGGTTGTTATCCTGGCACTAAGATGTCAGGTTTTCGACCTCCTCCCTGTACGCCGTCTCGTCGCCATCGGTGATCAGGCCGATGGCGGTCGTGTTGTCAGCAAACTTCACGATGGTGTTGGAGCTGTGTGTGGCCACTTAGTCGTGTGTGAACAGGAAGTAGAGGAGAGGGCTGAGCCTTGAGTCTCTATCAGGACAATAAATTCAACATCATTTTTTGTTGCTTTTAGACATCTAGGATTATTGTTGAATATACAAACTGGTATTTAATTATTGCACACAAAGTTATATCTGCAGCAGAAGTGAATGATTGCCAGTCGCCTTAGTTTGTTAATCTTCTCTTTCAGTCATACCAACAGGAGTTGTTTCCACTAGGCCACAGCTGTGCTGTTTGTGGAAAAATCAAATGCAAAAGACACAGGTGAGAAACTTGCTCATATTCACGTGCTTTGGTTGCAGTGTGTTGTATTATGACCCTATCGTTTGTGTCATCAATAGTTTAGACAATAAAATAAACTCATGACAGCAGACCCAAGAGGGAACTCCATAGACCTGTATTACTATGCTACTGCATATCCTGGTTTTACATGTGCTAGTAAAATACAGTGAAAATCAAAAAGTTATTTGATTAGTAGCAAACATTAGGGTAAACAGGACACTCTCTATAATTATGCCTTCATCCTATTGTATTGGGTTTTTCATAATTCATTGAGTGGTCAAGTTATGGAAAATGTTGCAATGCCCTCTAGTGGTTAGAAAGGATTCTTTTAGTTTTCTCTCTTAAATTCTGTGATATTTTTGTTGTTTCAATTTACTAATAGACCAACTTTATTACTGGAAAACTATCAACCATGGCTTGACCTGAAAGTCCCCTCTAAGGTTGATGCTTCTCTTTCAGAGGTAATATAAAGCAAACATGAATTTTAAGTAATTTCTTTAATCTATAATAGACCAAATTATCTCAGTCCAATTCTGTTTTATTTCCAGATTCTTGAGCTAGTTCTGGAAAACTTTGTGTATCCTTGGTACAGGTAAGACACCTGTGTATCTTTAACATGCTGTAATAAAAGGTGAGGTGGTTTAATGTGTTGTATGTTGTGACGGAAGGGACTGTGTGACTTTCTTTTCAGAGACATCACAGATGACGAGGCGTTTGTTGACGAGCTGAGAGTGACTCTGCGCTTCTTTGCAGCTGTGTTGGTCCGGCGAACCCAGAAGGTGACGAATCAAGGCGGTTTGGAGTTCAAATATTGGGATGTGGATTGATTTAACATGATTTTCTTTAATACATTTTTCCCTCCCAGGTGGATGTGGCATCCCTTATCACACAAAAGCTGCTTAAAGTGTCCATGAAGCACATAGAAATAATAAGCAAAGCAAGACAGAAAGGTATTGCATCACTTACTGAGTATTGTCATTGTATTCACAGCAAAGGAAAGGGAAGCAAATAACAAATCCCTCTCCTTTATAGTAAAGAACGCAGAGTATCTTCAACAAGCTGCCCTGGAGGAATACGGCCCTGACCTCCATGTAGCCCTTCGCAGTCGCAGAGAGGAGTTCCTCTACCTCAAGAAGCTGACTGAAATGCTCTTCCCCTACATCCTGCCACCCAAAGCTACAGACTGCAGGTAACTTAGTGCTGTGACAAGAAAGGCCATGGCTTCATATCTTTATAAAAGTGATTGCAGCACCAGTGTGCCTAATTGTCCACCTAGTGGAAATTATTTCAGCATTGACACTTTACAAAAGTAGATGAGGATCATTCTTTACTCTCTCATTTTCTGATTTCCTGCTGCCTTATCTCTCAGATCTCTTACTCTGCTGATTAGAGAAGTTTTGGCTGGTTCTGTCTTCCTTCCTTCCATGGACTACTTGGCTGATCCTGTGAGTGTAGAAACATTAAGGGGACACATAATGGATTTTCGAAATCCAAAACTGTTGTTGAAGCTCTCTGCTGCTACAGTTTTGTCAGTCTTATAATATATTTGAATTGTATTTAGTAAGCACGTTAGTCCACATTATTCTCTACGAGCATGCTAAGTGGCAGATGTGTTTTCAGAACATGTTAAATACTTAGTGTTTACTGGCTGCTCTCTTTCAGGACACAGTGAATCATCTACTTTTGATATTCATCGACAACTCCCCTGTGAGTATATTTTAAACTGGGCACATGCAAATCCATTAACATTCTGTGTGTTTAAACATTGATACAGTGTGTACGTAATTCATGGGTCAATCAGATAAGAATAAGGATCTACTTTCGTCCCTCTAGCCTGAAGAAGCCACAGAGCCCACATCAACGTTGGTTCCTTTTCTGCAAAAGTACTCTGATATTCGCAACAAAAAGAACTCGGTGAGTGTTTCCTCAAATAATTGAAAAGTACCACATCCCCAACAAAACCACCAGATATTGTATGGTTCTGTAGGTCTGTTTTTATACTGTTGTAGTTCAGTGTATCGGGTCACAGCGAGCTTAAAGAACACTTCCTTTCTTAACTGTGATCCCTGTTCTCTCTTTCAATTTTGTTCTCTCTCATCAGGTATTAAAGCTGGAGTTGAAGGAAATCAGAGAGCAGCAAGACCTTCTCTTCCGTTTTATGAATTTTCTGAAGCAAGAAGGCGCTGTTCATGTGCTCCAGTTCTGCCTTGCAGTCGGTAAGTGGTTCCCAATCCTTTCAGGTGGTTTCCAATGTTACATTTGCTGCTTTTACATGCAAGGAGTTACCTAGCTATGGGCAAGTCAAGCCAACAACACACAAACAACATTTACATTCTAAATGCTCTTCAAAGTAAGTTGTACAACTTAAGTATTCTGCTTCTCCTTTTTGGTTTATTAATTTATAATTGGACTGTATAGCAGAGACATTTAATAGAAGCAGGCCTTCCTCTCATCGCTCTCACACAGTCAGTCTCAAAGCATCAGAACCTCACTTGGACTGACTTTACAATCTAGACACTCATGAATACCAAAGTGATGCATTCTCAAAGATCCTTACCCAGTGAAACTAAGCTGTCTGACTCTTTCAACTCCTCAGAGGAATTCAACGACAGGATACTGTGCCCAGATCTGTCTGACACAGAGAAGACGATGCTTCACGAGGAGGTGAAGAAGATCTATGAGACGTACTGTTTGGACGAGAGTGTTGACAAGATCCGCTTCGACCCCTTCATAGTGGAAGAAATACGCAACAGTATAACCATTTCTAAATTAGCATTTTCTCAAAAAAGGGCTTATAATAACCTACTTGGACAAGTGTGTATTCATTAACATATATTTTTGAACTTTCTAGTTGCAGAGGGTCCGTTTGCAGAGGTGGTGAAGCTGCAGACCATGAGGTGTTTGTTTGAAGCCTATGAACACGTCCTGTCCCTCCTGGAGAATGTTTTCACCCCCATGTTCTGTCACAGTGATGAGGTTAGTGTCTACACCACAGACTAAATCACTCAACTCACTGACACACAACTTCACAACAAATGCCTGAGGCTTAATCCAATTAATGAATCCCCTCTTTCATAACTGTATTGCATCAATCCATCAAACTCTGATTTCTTAAAGGTCCCATGACATGCTTTTCTGGTTATTACCTGTCCCCTTGTGTGTTATGTAGATTTTTCTGCATGTAAACGGTCTGCAAAGTCACAAACCCTCAAAGTACACCCTGTAGCGAGTAAAACTCTTAACACAGAAAAGACTGCCCCAGAACGCCTCGTTGGAGATTTTTCTTTTTCCATTTTTTTCTTTCGGGAAAGGCTGACGTCACTCTTAACCAAATGCACCTGTTGTGGCGATCCAGCACTCCCACAACAGGAAAGAATGAAACGGAGAGGAATCAATAAAACACAAACACAGATATAGCTGATCAGTAATTATTATGTAGTTGTTGCAACAAACAAACAAACAATAATGGGAAGTACATCACCTGCTGCCACAGCAGCCAATCGCGGAAATGCCCCCCGACAGTAGATAAGATAAGATAAGATGAACCTTTATTAATCCCCGAGGGGAAATTCAGTTGTACAAAGCAGCAACAGGGTAAGCGTGAAAAAACAGGACAGCAAAGATTCACACAGATTAATAAAATCAAAAATAAATAAAATCAAGAATTTTTTTTAATGATAATAATAATAATAAAAGACTATAAAATAGGAGATGAGTAAAAATAAGAGTAAAATAACTGTAAAATAACTGTCAGCATATGTACATATTTGGTCATCTAAGAAGTTATAAAGTACGGAATAAGTTAAAGTGACAAGTGAAAAGTGAAAATGGACATCTGTACACATAGTGACACATTTATCTACCTTTTTGGTCTACTACTAATAATATGTTAGCATGGGTTGTGGAAACAGTGTATATTTATGTCCAGTGATCTAATTGTATTTCTTTTTCATCATTAACCCCTTATTGTGCAGCCTGATGGCTACAGGCACAAAGGACTGTCCGAGGCGCACCAAGCGCCTCGGACAGCAACAATCATACAGCATATAATAATAATAATAATAATAATGCATTACATTTTTTATTAGAGCGCTTTTACAGGTGCTCAAAGCGCTTTACAAGTACACATTACACATATTAGACATGTAAGAGTCATTACTGCGGACATTACCCACAGGAGCAAATGTGGGTAAAGTGTCTTGCCCAAGGACACAACGGCCTGACGCAGTGGCGGCCGAGGCGGGATTCGAACTGGAGTTCACCAACGCCCCTTGATCTGATGACCACTGCGCCAAAACCACCCCTGTAATGAACACACACATTTTCCCTAAACATATTTAACGCACACACATTTTATCATGCAGCCTACCACACAAATGTCACATGTTTATCTCTCTGAAAGCTATACTTGTATATGTTTAAACGTCATCGTCTCATGACATCCTTAGGATTAGTTAACTAACAAAGGTTAACTGTTCTTATAACCTGAGGCCTTCTCTGAACTTCCTCTAACCTCGGTGTCAGCTCACTTAAAATCAATACATCTATTGGTAATTCAGAACGACCATTGTCTCTCTAACTGTGTGTGACCCAACTCAGTAACACACATCATATAGCTTAGCATGTGATCTCTAATAAATATCAGAAATACGCTGTATTAAACATTCTGCTATAACACACCAATTGGTCCAAATGGACCAATCCGTGGAGCTCCGCACACACACTCACACTCACTCACACTCACTCAGCCTTATCTTTTCTCAGCGAGCTCCGCGGTGTCTCGCTGTCTCGCAGACCCCACGCATCAACCAGGAAATGACACCAGTAATCCAGCTCACACCGTCCGCTCCTCGAGCCTCAAAGGGCAGAGCAGCGAGCCCCGCAACGTCCTGCCAACAAGGCACCCAGACCCCACGGAGCATTCTCATCTGTTTGTCATTACAGGTGTCATTTTCTGGTTGCAAACAAACGCCATTGTAACACATGAACACTGATGTTCAGCTGTAACGGTGGTTGACTAATCAGAGCACAGTGGGCTCATAGGGAGGGGGGGGGCAGGAGCTCCAACAAGCCGTGTAGGACAGAGTGAATACACATACTATACAGAGATGCTGTATGAGAAACCAATGTGAGTTTGGAACATTGAACAATGTAAGACCTCAACAATGGAATTATGATCAGTAGAAATGGCCATGACATGGGACCTTTAATACAGTCCTTTCAAAATATAGTTGTTTTACGGTCAGTTTTAACATCTACCATTTGAATGTTGTTTTGTCCGAGTAAACAAAACCGCATCTGTCCAATGTTAGAATTACAGTTGATTTGGTGTTCACTGAATCTGTTGCACTATCCTCTTTCGATCTCTCAGCCACCAACCACTGTCGGCCGCGTCATCAATTCAATTCCCGCAACTGGCCAATGAGCCAACACTGGCATTGAGCCAAAATGCCAAGCCGAATTTCACCCCTCAGAGGCTGTTTCATTGAATACAGCTTGGTGGACAAATGCTCAGCCATTGTCCACAGCAGGCCACTGCCCTGCATAAATAGTGTGTGTACAAAATAATGATAGTATTTCAAATGTTGTTGCTACACTTGTTACTGCTTCAAAATGGATTTATTATGTGTTTCCATGTAGCTTATATATTGTGTTGAATTTACATAACTTTGTTTGTTGTCTCCATGTCATTCTCCAGTACTTCCGCCAGCTCCTGAGAGGGGCCGAGTCCCCTGCAAGGAACTCCAGGATGAGCAGGTAGGCATCCCTTTACATGTTTTTGTGTAACAATAAAAGCCTCACCCTAGCAGTATATTGATCCATTAGTTAGGTTTTCTTACAGAACTTTTGATAATCTAGCTTGTACTTTTTTTAAGGCAGAAAATTGATTTATGTGTCTGTTACCACATGCAACCCACGTTCCTTTAATCTGTCTGAATATCATGAATAATGTATAAAACATTGTTTAATCTTTACAGCTCTCTGTATGCCAATAGAAACTGCAGTGTGAAGGCAGAACATAGTATGTGTTGTCTTATATTTAATTATACATATACATTTAGACTTAATGCAACCTAAAAGAAGCTGTTAACATCATAAAAAAATTGTTATTTCGTTACGAGACCTGAGCCCAGGGATCAACTGTCATGTTTTATCACGGGGTGCGGTGTGTATGTGGCCCCGGAGCCCTGCCACTAACTCCTTGTGCATATTGTTCCAGAAATAGCCTCAGTTTGGATGACATTCGGTGAGTATAAGGCATCAGTGTGCTGATCAAAACAGTGGCTGGCTGAGCAGTGCTGCTGCACGCAAGACACAAAGACATATCATTCTTGCCTGACTGGTCTATAGAGAAACATGTGCTGCCTTTTTAACAAATTCCCTGTTCCCATGGGTCCGCTGCAACCAGGGCTTCAGTTCAATGAGCCCTAGTCCATAATATGACAAGGATATATCATGGTATTGCTACTGTAAATTCACCAATAAATACATGTTTTATTTGTTGCCTGTGCTGAAAACGCTAATAAGAGAAGCTGGAGAGAAGTAAACATAATCAGTTAATCTTGTTAGTCATAGCATGACTCATCATTAATCATGGGGTATTCAAGCTAACCAAGAGTGATGGTGCTGAAAACATGCAATTAAAAAATCTTAGTTTTAGAACATTAAAGGTGGGGTAGGTAAGTTTCAGAAACCGGCTCGAGATACACTTTTTGTTATATTCCATGGAATGCTCTTAACATCCCGATAGCAATGAATATCTGAAGTGCTTTGACAAAAAATCCATAAAAATCTGTGGAAGCCGTAATACTGTAAAAAGTACAACCAATCCGTTTAGCCGGCCCGGCTAAACGGATTGGATTGCCGCCCTGTCTGTCAGCCTTCCATCTCGTGCACGCACAAATGTATCTCGTGCCCTCATTGGGCGTGCATTGCAGCAGTACTTCAATGACTCGCCAGCAGCAGGCGGCCACTTTCACCAGTCTGCAGACGTCATGTGCGCGTTCATGTGTGTTGGAGGAGGCGCTCTGTAAGGAAGTCTGAAGGAAGGGGCGGATTCTTTTCGGCTGTGTACTTTCAAATTTTAGTGCACTCGAGCCGGTTTCTGAAACTTACCTACCCCACCTTTAAGGCTTTATTCTAAATTATTTTTTCATTTAAGTTTGCTCACATCTCAAATGACAGAGTTGAAATTGAGGGGGGGGGCTTCAGGAGGAATGGTTGATTTTATATTTCAATTCCTTCACAAAAGCATTCTTGTTACGAAGGCAGTTTTCAAAGCAGCATAAACAGATAGATAGTAGAAAATGGCTCTCACTGCCACTTGATTTGTAAACGCTGGGCAACTATACGTCCCAATACCCTTCATGTCTGCAACTCAGATAACACCCTCCCCATCTTTCCGCCTGTTGCTCCATACATGTATTGCCACCACCGTGCTGTGACTGTGTATCCACTCTGATTCTATGATTCATACTGCCTGCACCGGTATGATCCGCGGTTCTCTCCCTCCTCTTGCCCGCGGGGATGTGACCCTGTTCTGCGACCCTGTTCTGCTTATAGTTCCTGGGACTGGAGCCCCGAGTCTCCGTCCTCACTGTTCACTGCATCCGGCAGCTCTTCACCTGCATCTTTTAACTCCCTCCATGCCCAGTCCACGTTCACAACTTTCCCATACGGCTCGCTATCCCACCGCCACTCATCACCCAAGTAAGTCAGGGTCCATCTTTGTGTCACAGTGTGATGTCATGCTGTCCAATTATCCCGCATGGTGGGACTGATGCATGGAATCCTGTTTTTATTTGTCATGTGTCCTCCCTCCGACTTTAATGTGTTGTTCAGGCTGAAGACTTGTCTGTTGTTTTGCAGTGACTTTTCAATGTCCAACTTCTTGTATACTGGGTACATCACCAGGGGCGGACTGGCCACCGGGACGTTCGGGACGAATCCCGATGGGCCGGTACTGAAGTGGGCCGGTCGGACGATGTGGGCTAGTCGGATAGGATAAGGCACTAGCACCCCGCCGCCGACAATTTACTAGCGGTATTTACTTGCGGCACCGAGGTGGGCCGGTCGGAGAAGTCACTAGCACACCCCCCCCCCGTTGACAATTTACTAGCGGTAATTACTTGCGGTACCGAGGTGGTCGAGTGTCCCGGGCTGATTTGTAGTCCCAGTCCGCCCCTGTACATCACCATGTGTATATTGTGATGTCTAGTTCTCTTACTGTTACCGACACTGACACAGAGCACCTTTGATGTTGTGTGCCTTGACTGTTAACTGATCATACGTATAATTTGTGGTCATTTGTAAAAGCAAACATCTTATCATGAAATCACTGCTTATGTATTGTGTTTGTTTATGGTTTTGCAGCACTCACTTTAACATCAAACCAGACATTTCATTGTGAGATGGCTGTGAAGTGACATTTTGGCTTTGGATTTGGCTACCTTAGCGTCTTTCTCCCCATTGTTCAGTGATGTTTCAGATCGCCTTGCCTTCCCTCCTGTCCTCTACAGCTCCCTCCCTGTCACTCCTCTCTCAAGCTGCATGTGCTGTGCTAAAGCCATGCACATCTCCTACAGTACTCATTGTTTAATAACCATCATGTTTGGCCTGCAGGAACACGTCAAAGAGGGGCGAGTCCTTTGGGATTAGCCGCATTGGCAGTAAGATCAAAGGAGTGTTCAAGAGCACAACCATGGAGGGCGCAATGCTGCCATCCTACGGGCTAGTGGAGGGAGAGGACGATATGGTGAGGCTGATCTAAAACGTTTTACTCATTTTCAGATTATTCAAACGTTATTTGTTAGTTATAACTTTAACCTGACTATAGATTTCTTTAGTGTCTGGATTTAAACACAAATTGTCCTGTGTGCTTCTCGTTCTTACAGGTGTCTCTGATTCATTTAAACTTTAAAACAATGCTTAGAAATAACAAAAAGTGATTACAAGAGAGTGATTTAAAAGTAAAATTCAAACTAAAGCACTGCAAAATTATTTCAAATCAAACATTTTATTATGCTTTAGCAATGCTTGTCTGCAAAATTTGAGTTTTGCCATCACAGTCCTGACCTAATAACTTCTTTCAATTTCCTGTAAAGTGTATAAGTGCTCAACTGCTTTAATGATGTGTATGGGAAAATCAACCATATGTACACATATAATGACCTTTCATTCACAGCTGGTGCAGTAAAGCAGGATGAGTTGCTGAATGTCTGGAAATGTTTTTTTAATTGCCCTTCCTGTATCTGTTGTAAAGGATTTTGCTATGTTTGCATTTCTATTTTGTGTGGCTATAAGGACCTTGATTTCTTTAAGACTTACTTCCTTTTAAAGTAAAAACAGTAGGTGTACACTGTATGTCAAATTAGTTAAAAAGGTGCGTCTGATAAACACCCTTGGTTTTTTATTGTACTCGTTGTTTTTGAGCCTATTAATAGCAGACATATTCCTTATGAAGTTCCTTACTGTATATGTGACCTTAACCTCTCCGGCTTCCTTCCATTCAAGGTGGAGGAAGCCATGATGGTGTTGGAGGATGACTCGCCCATGGAGGCAGCCTCCACCCCCAGCACTCCCCGAAACCTTTCTGCCTGGAACATCACCATCCCATACATTGATTTCTATGACGATGATGTGAAGAGGGAGAGGATTCCGGTGTTCTGCATCGATGTAGAGCGCAATGACCGGAAGTCAGGTGAGACTCAGCAGACCGTCCTTCTGGCTCACTTCCTCTCATGAGGGAGGGGTCATTCTGCTCTATGACGCTTCGAAATGTGGTGTCCTTATCTGTAAGGTAAAGTGTTGCACTCCCCATCCACCACCCCTGAAATATTTATTTTTTAAATCATCAAAAGTCCAGTTTGGGTAAATAGGTCTTGGTACATGTTTGTATTGGAATTTGAGGAGCGCTCACTTTTTTTGGTTCGGATGCAATAAATAAACAACACGCTTATTCAGGAGCTTTAGAAGTGCTGGTTGTTTTTGTTTAGGTGGGACAGAGCCAGGCTAGCTGGGTAGTTTCCCTCTCTTTCCACTTTTTTATTTATTTTTTTTACTCTGAACTACTAGGCTAGCTGCTGGCTTCATGTTAACTTTACCAACAAGAGAGTAGTATCAATCTTCTCATCTATCTCTCAGCAAGAAAGCTGATTACAAAAATATCCATAAAACATGTGCCTATGACAGATAACAGCACCACATTGCCAACAACCCAAGACTACATATCATTAATTGGGGCTACATACAGTTACTGTTGCTCAAACTAGTTTGCAAAAAGATGAAATAAGAGTAAAAGCTGAGTGACTGCTGCAGATGGTAACAATGACCTCTCACTGTTTGTGGAACTTCTTAATCTTACTGTTTCCCTGTTTGTATTTATCTGCAGTGGGACATGAGACTGAGAACTGGTCTGTGTACAGAAGATATTTGGAGTTCTATGTTCTTGAATCAAAGCTTACTGAGTTTCATGGTAAGGTTTCTTTTTTTCATTTATTGTCATATGGAAGACATTTCCCACCAAAATGATCTCACACATTCCAGAAGTTTCACAGAACATTACTTTCAAGTGAACCTTAATCTTAGATGTCATGTAGATTTAATGGCCTGCATTATTTATGCATTCAGTTTGTTATTTTGTGGTCAAAGTAAAAGGAAGCTTGTTCGTTTAGATATTTTATTTATTTTATTCTTTTGTAGGCTCATTTCCAGATGCGCAGTTGCCTTCGAAGAGGATCATCGGTCCCAAGAATTATGAGTTCCTCACATCAAAGCGGGAGGAGTTTCAGGAGTACCTTCAGGTAGATGTCTGGGGAAAAAGGATACAGAAACGTAGCATGAAAATTATTCAAACACACAGCTATGACTGCCACGTCTGTGCAATGAAAGCGGCTCATATAGTTGTCAAATAAATGCATCAGTCCCATTTGAAAATGTTCCAATTTCAAGCTAAAGACTGATCTATTCAAATGTAAAACAAGTCTTCTGTTAGTAGAATTTGATGGCTACAAACCAGATGTTAATGTTCTCTAAACTCCATGAAAAAATAAGCACCCTTACCTTCATATTTTGATCAGAGTAACAGTTTGCTCTTACGGCATTTGGTGACAGAAATGAAACAGTAATAGTGAAGGTTATATGTGGATTCACTTCTGTATGTCAGGCCCAGATCTCTCTCACACTCACACTCATACTCACACACACGCACACACACACACACACACACACACACACACACGCTCGCACACACACACACACACACACACACACACACACACACACACACACACACACACACACACACACACACACACACACACACACACACACACACTCGCACACACACTCGCACACGTACGTACTCACAACCACACACACACTCACAACCACAAACACAAACACACACAGTGCTCCAGGCAAATATTTCTACTCACTGCATCTGGCTGTAGCAAGCAGCACTTATGTGACCAGACATCAAGATTAAATATAAACATTTTCCATTTTGAAGCATTTGTTCCAGGAACACACCACTTTCACAATAAAGTTTAAAAGTGATAACGACATTCTGAAGAACAAAGGGAACCGTATTTCAGGACCGTGGTCGGGTCCCATTTAGCTGCCACAAGGACAGCTGTTGTTTTTCAAAATTCTCACAAGGAGGAAAACAACTTCTAATTTATAATTATGTGTTTGTCTTTGCAGAAACTTCTGCAGCACCCAGAGCTAAGCAACAGTCAGCTCCTCGCCGACTTCCTGTCCCCTCATAGTATGGAGTCTCAGTTCCTGGACAAGATGTTACCTGACGTGAACCTCGGTACTGTATGCCTGTGACAAACACTAGGGAGATGGATTATGTTTGACCAGCAGAACATTTCAAACACACTGTGAAATTATTTGAACATCCTGACCTAGGGTTGCAGTGAAAATGTATTTGTGCTTCAAACAGTGGCAAAATGCGACAGAAGCATACATCACTGAGACAAAGTGTCTGTTTCACAGGAAAAATCATTAAGTCGGTTCCCAGCAAACTGATAAAAGAGGTGAGAAATGCATTCTTGATAGATCTGTGTGTGTGTGTGTGTGTGTGTGGGTCTGGTTTACTTCTTTATCTCATCTTACTGCAATACAAATGTTTCCCATCACTTGCGTCTCAAACGATTTGGTATAACAAATACACATTAGAGAAGTAATACTGTCATTGAAACTCATACACATTGTTTTCTTTATTTTTCAGAAAGGGCAGCATCTGGAGCCTTTCATCCAATCCTTCTTCAACTCCTGTGAATCTCCCAAACCCAAACCCAGCCGCCCTGAGCTCACTATCCTGAGCCCCACGTCAGAAAATGATAAAAAGGTTGGGGATTAAAGTTTTGTAACATTCAGAGTTCATACTCTCTCTTTCTCTTTCTCTTTCCACCAGCCAGGAAACATCTTATCTGCAAACCTTTGATTACTGCAGAGTTCCTCCCAGACGTCTTAATTACATTTAATAGTTGTTTTCACTGAAGCACACCATTACCACTTTCTGCTCCATAAAACTCCCACAATCTCATGGAGTTTTATACTTTAGAGATAGTTTTCAAGTGATGGTTTGCATCTGTCACTGTACATCACTGTATGAACTTTCCTTTTGTTTTTATTGTCATTTCATGATAATGCAAGTTTTCAGTTGTTTTAAATGCGATCCATTTCTCCTGCTGTCTTTAGATAAACACGCTTCACAGCCAGTAGTTGTTGTAGTTTCAGACATATGGACACTTTGGCTATCTTACTAAACATGGTTTTCTATCGTTATAACAGTGTGTGGGGCCAATACATGTCTATGTTTAGAATATGTTATCTGACATGTAGTCAACAAGACTAGAAGCGTTTAACATGAAAACTGACCAGAACTAAAGCTATAAATCAAATGTGTCATTGTCTCAACATGCAGAGATAAACACAGTAAACCTCCTGTCATCAATACTTTCACTGTTCACATTTAGTTTTAGTTATCTTAAACCCTATTTGAATGCCATATTAAGCTCAGCAGAGTTGTCAGTCCCAAAGATTAGGGAAGGTTATTGAAACAGCAGGATCGTGATCTTATGGATTTAAAAAGGCTTCAGTCTGATGTACATTTCTCTCCTAGCTCTTCAACGACGTCTTCAAAAACAACGCCAACCGATCAGAGATGACTGAGAAGCGACACAATCAGAACTACTTCATGGAAATTATCACTGTTGAAGGGCTGTATGACTACTTAATGTTTTTAGGTAAGTGAGCTCTCCTGGAGTTTGTTTATTGGAATAAGTTCATGACACTTTATTATTTACCACTGCTTGAAGTTGTGTACTTGGATTTCAGTTTTTTTATGCTGAAGCACAGGAGATGGTGACGGCCCGTCCACACAGCGGCGTGCGTTGAAGCTTGCCGGCGGGCGTGTCTGAAACTCAACCAACAACCAATCACATGAATCTCCCGCCCCTAACACACAATCAGCGGTTTGATTGGCTAAAGCTTGTACTGGCATATGATTCGATTGGCTGACGCTTCTGCCGAGGCTTCAAAAGTTGAACATTGCTCAACTTTTGCCGCGAGCCACGCCAGCAAAGTTCCGCGTCGCTTCCCACAATGCAGTTCGGCAAAAAGTGACGTCACCCCATTCAAAGTTTATGGTGAAGCTTTCAACGCACGCCGCTGTGTGGACGGGCCGTAATAGGAGCTCTAATACATCCCCTTATCTTCCTGTACACATGTTGGCAAGATAAGAAATTAAGAACGATAATGAAAAAGCATGTTTTAAAACAAGTATACGAAAAAACACGCATTAAGTAAATCCAAATTATTATTTCATTGCATTTTATAGTTAATTGCAAGTTAAAGTAATTATCTTTGTGGGACATTTGCATTGTGATTAAGAAAACATGCAGTATCTATTGATGGTATAAAAGCACCGCTCAGGAGTCACAGAATTCTTTATCGTTACACAAGAAATAAAAAAGTAAATAAAAAGGCATTGCTGCAGGATTGTACTATAATGAAGCAGGGGGTGATCTCTCTCATTATTCACCACCATGACACCTTCACCCCTGGACCCCCGAGGTAAAGCCCGTTACTCACTCCTTTATTCTTTATCTCTCTCTCTCTTCTTCTTCTTCTTCATGGCTTTCAGGCCGAGTCGTCTTCCGTATCCCCGACTGGCTGCACCACCTGCTGATGGCCGGCAGGATGCTGGTGAAGAACACGCTGGAAGCCTACACAGACTACTACCTTCAGTGCAAACTGAACCAGGTGGTCCAGGAGCACCGGCTGGTCTCACTCATCACCTTGCTTAGGGGTAAGAACACGTGTGAATTATCTAAGATGTTGAACTATCCTATTAAACTTGCTAATGTCAGAGATTGAATGATGTACATAATATTTGCCCTTCCAGACACAGTTTTCTGTGAGAGCAGTCAGCCCCGCTCGGCACCGGACAAGCAGAAGAGGGCGAAGAAGACATTCGAGGAAATGATAACCTATATTCCAGGTATTTATTATACTATATTAGACCAAGCTACTGCTCAAATGTGCAGATGTGAGAGCAACTGTATTAAAAAGATATTCATAAGCCGCTTGTATTTAGATTTTCTGGGCAAGTGTATCGGAGAAGAGGCCAAGTTTGAAGGTGTACGTCTCCTCTTCGATGGACTGCAACAGCCAGTTCTCAACAAACAGGTAAACAAGTCCCGTCATTTTCAGGACACATACAACATGTAGAACACTCTCAATTTTCCTACTACTTTGGGATTTTGTCAAAACAAAGAAAACCCTACACTCTTACCATGATTTTGTTTAATTGTTCTGGAGTTTAGCATTTGCATATATCTTTTTTAATATGTGTTTGAGGAGTGTAACTAAAGATAACTCACATTATTGCTTTTCATCATCCTCCTTCCTTCGGCCTCTCTCAGCTGACGTATGTGCTGTTGGACATCGCCATTCAAGAGCTTTTCCCTGAGCTAAACAAGGTAAACAGAAGCTGGCTTTGGTTTCTGAATAAATATATTCTGAACATCCATCCCTTCTCTTTACGGGTTCATCCTTTGTAGGGCTTCAGGGGGAATCTGAATGTATTTGCACAAAAAATGCATTTCTTCATCTGTATCATAATTGTAACGCTCCTTATTACATTACATTAATTAACAAGCAAAACCTGTGATTGTATGATATCTCACAAATTATCAATAAAAGTAGATGCAGAGATATCGTATTGCAGGATAAAGTAGGCCCTCTAAATCACAGTATTTATTTAGGAGAATAAGATAATTCTTAACGTTTTTAACCTGCATTCAGCGACTGCAGTTAATCACATACAAACAATTAAATTGTCTTTGTACGTTTATTATACAACGGCATAGTATTACCAGGCATTGTTTTTATATCTTCATTCTTAAATCAAACGTGAATCATTATTTGCCTGCATCTGTGACTATAAGTGATAAATACAAACTGTATATATACACATAATAGAACAACTAAGTGTTTTCTTTAGTACTTATGCTGTTTTTGTTTCCTCAGCAGGTACAGAAGGAGGCCTCTGTGATGGCTCCATGGATGTAAAATGAACATAACAATGGACAATGAGCTCACATTCTCTCGACATTGAACTGAAACACCTGCAGAGATCTGTGTTGGTTCGTTTACATGAAACCAGCATGCAGACCCCATGTACAGTGTCTGACCGGGACACATGACGCAGCAAGAAGAGGAACACAAGGATTTTCCTGCTGTATGTGTCATTAACATTGCAAAATAGATAATATAAATAAATGATATGACAGTGTTATTAGCACACTGTGTAATTGTCTTTCACCGCTTACATTATAGTCTAAAACACCTCTTGAAAATTGTTCACTGTGATATCCGTTTTACAAAATCTGCAAGACAATTGAAAAAAAGTAATATTTTCGAATATTCTTGCAAATTGTTTATTTGAAACATTTAAAAAACACAATTCAATACATACTTATATAAAAAACGATTTGAATGCTTTTTGTCAACTTAGATTACATGAATAATGTACAGACTCATTAACAGCAGGACTAATATTTTAGAATAAAATTCATGACTCATTTTGATAAATACAATTAATTTTTTAGATAAAAAGCAAAAAAAGAATACCTGAGAAGGGCCTTCTATTTTCCTTTTAAATATATTCTAAAAGACTTACAAAAGTACTTTATAAAGATGACTGCTGGCAACACGGGATGCAATGACGAAACCAGAAGAGCATCAGTGTTTGGAACAAAGTATTTGATCCCATCAGCTCGGGGGGTTTGGTTCTCGGCAAAGAAACACATTCATGGCTTATTTACGGATCATATCTACAATATAACTACTCTAGCAATATATTTGTTTATCCAACTTGAAGATGGCCATGCTTTTGTAGCAATATTGTTATTATTATTATGAGATTAGATGAGCAGGCACAATGCTGTTTTAAAAAATCAATCTCATGTGGCAGCCATAAGGTAATGAATCTGAGTTTAGGATTGAAGACAGTCTTAAGCTACACTAGATCAAACAATATTCACATTCAGTGCATTAATACTTCAGGCTTTGGCTGAGTTCCCTCCATCTCTATTCATGGCAGATATATAGCAGCTAGACAGCTTTCCCTTTATTTGTTAACTCAATACAAAGTTGGACACTAGACTAAACTAAAACTAACTTGCATGCATGTTTAACAGTATTATTAATATCCTTTACATATATTCCAAATATATATTTAGGTTCTTCATTCTTCTTCAGCTGTAACATCTTGCACACATGCACGAAAGATGCTGTTATAGACAACTCTTGTCATCCTAAGCCCTTCAAATCAGTTGTTTAAATCACTGTATGAAACTACACTGAGGCTTTCTCTTCAATCTTGTTGTATTCTAGCTGTCCTTGAAGGCAAGCGAATTGAAAGGCAAAATCCCAGAGGAATTTACAGGCCGTTTAAGAGTTCAAAGCTATCAGCGGGTCAGAGACAGACATAAACCCAGCAGCAACAAACCCATGCTGTGTGCTGCTACGAAAGCCGAGTTCCTGAACGTGATCCGGCCTTCCACTGCAGGGTACACGCATTTCATGTCCGAGATGTATTTGGAAAATACAGAAATGTCCATGTCACCTGCAAGAGGCAGCAAAGTTACGACTTTCTTGGTATTTGGTTGTTATTTTATGAAGTGTTCCACATAAAAGTATATCCTTGCTGTCCCAGCTTAAAGCCTCCTGTTCTCTATTTTTACAATGCTATGAGAAACAGCTGCACAGCAATTAAATGCATAAAATTTAGATAACACATTCCCTACCAGAGTGAGTTTAAATAAGTGCACCAAGGGGGGACTTCTAAAAATGAGTGAACAGGGACTCTCGCCTAACACGTGATCACTGAAAGACAAACTGCACCCTGCAGTGCCTTGCTTAGGAGGACAGCTGCAGTCATTTCAAGTGAGTTAGACATTTAATTGTCCAGATGAGTGGGTAGTATGAAATGTAAATCATATTATTAATTGTTTCTATAGCACAGAAGGAAAATCAGCTCACAAACAAGAGCTAAAGCTAACTGCTCTGTGAGGACTGTATTGAAGCACAGTTGTGTTAGAGCTAATGCTAACACCTGCATGCTAACATTTGCTAAAAAGTACTCAACACCAAATAGCCCACAGTTCAGGCTGTTCAAAAACATCATCTCAAATGTTTAGTCACAGACATTTCTCTGTTTTTACTCTCAGACATTTGAATTTTGACAGGGACAAGCACAGTTTGAGAAATCTGAACCAGATAACCAGCTCATTGAAGTAAAACAGTAAAAGTTCGGAGGTCAAATAAGGCTTATTATAACACCTTTTAATCAGTTATCCATTCTTAAAATGTTTCACAGGCACCTGAAAGTGGTGGGAGTTCATTTTAGATTCACTTCTGTAACTCCCCTTAACCACACATCATCAAAACACACTGATATTTGATTTAATGCTCCAAATCCTCCATTCAGATTACATTACCAACGTATAAACATTCTTACCTGTGTTATGTTTCAGTAACTCGTCCTTAATCATGGTAAAGCTATCGCCTCCGCCCACTATGTAAGAAGGCATCACCACAGTGTACGTCTTCTCGGGGTCGACCGGTTCATATTTGGGAACACGGCACTCAGTGCAGAGCATGGACAAGGACACCACTCGCTGGTTCACTGGTTTGGAAAGGTCATACTGAACATGAATGCCTAGAAATGTCCAAGAGAAGATAAGGAAATGTTATGTATAGTTTCTGTTGTGGAAATATTTTCCAAGGCCCATAACTTTGACCCAGTTTATCAGTTCAAACTGTCCTGACTGAGCACACGCACCTCGTAACCTTGGCTGCTGTGCTCTCAGTGTTCTGTCTCCCTGTTCCTGCCTGTTGGCGTCAGCTGATAGAGGTGTTATCATTCTATGTTCCTGCCTGTTGGCGTCAGCTGATAGAGGTGTTATCATTCTATGTTCCTGCCTGTTGACGTCAGCTGATAGAGATGTTATGCAGCAGTTTGATGATGCTCTCAGAACTAGTTAAATACATGGGTCTGAGGTAGAGTTCTTTAGAATTGATGTGGCAACTCTACCGTGAAGTCAGAACCTCTGGCTCTTGGACTTGTGATGTGAATCCTCCGGCCGTAACTCCAAATAAACCATCAGTGTTTGATATCAAAGCTACTGCTCCTACCGTGTCTCCTTCCTGAGTCGGTGACTCCCACTGCATAGCTACACAGAACTTTCCTCTACAGTTTCCGTTTTCCTGAGAGCTATCAATAACAGGATATGTTGAAACAGCTGGCTCTGTCCAAAGCTAAAGACATTTGTCCACTGGTGACTTTGCAGGCTATTAGATAAGAATAACATGAGAGTGGAATCAATCATCTAACTGTTGGCAGGGAAGCCAATAAGTCAATTTACCAAAATGTCGAATTATTCTATTAATGCTAAATATGACCTGAGGATGTAAAAGTGAAAATGATTCAAGAGGACTCCAGGGGAAACAGGTGGGGGAGCATAAAGGAACCAGAAGACAAACCTGAGACTTGAAGAAATTCTCCAGACATGCTTCCATATCTGTGAATGGAGTGCTCAAAGGCCTTCTTCACTGTGGATCCCTTTATCTTGACCAAGTCAAAGGTCCCTCCGAATGGTAAGACGGTGAGGATTTCCTCCATTGTTATGGAACCTTAAAGTTAGGGAAAATACTGGTACATTTTAAAAGTAACTACAACTGCAGCCTTTGTAATGAAGAACTTGTGTTGAAAGAAAGTACCATTTTTGTAGTGCTCGTTTATAGCTGCCCGTACGGCACCGCTATTCAGCATACAAATGCCCACATGATTCCACTGAAGCTCACTTGAATATTTTATGTTGTGATAAATCTGGCAATGCAAAAACATGTTATACAGAAGTCAAACTCCGCCTCCTGGGAAAAGTGAATCTCCTGTTGTAATGTGCCTAAGGGGTATTTATGTCAGTCTGCTCCCAAAACCCCTGCAGGCCCTTTCAATTCCACAAATTCCCACCTAATGCTGAACATGCAGAGGCAGGATCTGAGAATGGTTACTGTCAGGTTCACATTTAGCGGAAATTAGTGACAAAGACAAACTGCCTTTCTATTTTCTCAGTGGCTACTAGACTGTTTACCAAAGTGAGGAAGCCACTAAAGTCGCCTGTATTCTGTAAATAAATCAACAAATGAAGATAATGTTTGCCTGTGATAATTACCATAGCATCACAGATCAGGTTTCCAAGGTTACACTCCCGAAATCGACACTCTTCAAACGTCCCATTGAGGTAGACTAAGGTCTGTCCGACGTACTGGGAGGAATACTGAGCCAAGTCTTTTTTCCACTCTTCAATGTCAGCGAGGATATCTGGGTCTGAGAAAGCAACAAGACGAATAAAGCTTGTTCAAATGATTAGATTTAAAAATGTTCAAGTAGTAGTTAAAGCTTCCATTTTAAAAGCTGTTTAAACATCACAGTAAGTATCAACATTATGCCAACGTTAATTATAGCTTCACTTGGACACATATCGACATGGCAAGTCAAATCTTTGTTTTGGTTTTTGGGGAATGGTTGAAAATTCAAGCATGGGCCCGTTTTAATTACTGTAATTGCAGTCTACCTTGAGGAATGCTGCTGTCCATTAGGATGGGGTTCCCGACTGCTTTTACCACATTCCCAGCCTGGTCAAAGGTAACTTTTAGGTATCCGAGGTACTTCCCAAAGGCAAAGGCCTGCACCACCGGCACGTTCCTCCCATCATTGGATCTCACCATGAAAGGGTACGGACCTGCTGGCACTTCAGTGGATGGGGGTTTTCCTGCAAAGACAGTTTGCAGAGCACCGTTTCTCACTTCCCGTTGCAGTGAAAGCAAAACAATGCATTTTGATCAGGTGGTTTTTTTCCCTATTGTGTGCTAAGACTGAAACTGCAGCTGAATTGAACAAAAATACAGGTACAAAAAACAGTTAAACACAGTCAGCTTCCTTTTTAGGATTACTTCATTGTTCATTGTTAAGGATGTTTTTTCCTGGGGCCAGATTATAATTCTCTCTTTCTCTACAAAACATTGAGAACAACTGGTAAAACACCAAACAGCTTCACGTTAAAAATCAAGGCTTCCCAGAGGACAAGCTAAAGGCTAATTTCCATTCAGCTTGTTTTTCCAGACATCTTATATCTATAATTGTTCATTTGGTTAAAATCCCTTGTTTAAAAAGATCAATATTTAAAAAAAGCATTGTAAAAATCTTCTTAAATCTGGATAAAAATGTAATTAACAGGTTTTAAAGATACAAGAAAGAAGATTTTGTTGCCACTAGATCAGATCCGAATGAAATAAAATAGGAAAACAAGTACCAGTATAGAGGAATGTGTTGGTGTGTCCTCCGATAACGACATCAATCCCTCTCACACGTTTGGCAATTTCTTGATCCATGGCAAAGCCAGAGTGGCCCAGGGCGATGATCTTATTATAGCCCAAGGTTTCCAGCTTATCGACCTGAACCTGAAGTGCCTTCACCTCATCCTCAAATATAAGATGTTGGCCTAACACAGGGGGGGGGGAATTAATTATAAGAAACCTCTGTTGTACATTTACTGTGGTCTGAGCTTCATGCACATACTGGACAAACATGAACTGCTGCATGCAACAATGTGGCAAAAATACATTCAACACTTCATCAATCAAACTGCAGGTTATTATTTTTACCTGGCATGGATAGGAAGGGGGTCTCTGCAGTGGTGTAGCCAACCACAGCCACTTTCTCTAAGCCCACATTTATGACAGTGTAGGGCTGGTAGTAGCCGCTGAGTTTTGAGGCCAGGGTCTTGTCTGGTTTTATGTTTGCACTCACCATAGAGCAATTTACATTTTGGAGGAAGGGCTTGATCAGACCTTCCACTCCATTGTCAAACTCATGATTTCCAAAAGCCTTAATACAGAAAAACAGGATTGCATTAGCTGATGGAATCCAGTGATTGTTAATGCAATGTCTTAGTATGACGCCCAAAACAACATATTCAGCTGTTGTGTTTTAAGTAAAATTCCCAATTTAAAGAGTATTTATTTACCATGGCATCATAACCGAGTTTGTTCATGAAGTGAGCTGCTTCGGCACCTTTATAGTAGTTGAACCAGACAGTCCCCTGAAACTGGTCTCCAGCATCCAGGAACAAAACATTATTCTCCTTTTTCCGGATCTCCGACACTTTAGTGAACCTCCTGGCGACCCCAGCGAAACATGGACCCCTGGGTGGACACTTCCCTGAGTCAACGCTGGTCTCCTCAATCCGGGCATGGTTGTCGTTAGTGTGAAGCAGTGTCACCTCGAAAGTCGACGCTGTGCCCGAACAGTTTAGAAAGATGCAGAGCGAGGTCAGGAGAGCGCACCGAGACCTCCAGACGCTCATCGTGCCGTTGTGCGTAAAAACGCAACAGTGACCGAGAATGTAAAGCACTCGAAACAAGGCGTGGGCTTTTCCCCTCAAGAAGGATGTGTTCAAAGTAAAGAGGGGATACAGTGATCATAACACCAGAGGGAGCTCCACAAATCATGTGAAACCCAGATTTGGCACAAAAAAGGGAGAATACACGTTTCGCAATTATGCCACATCAAGGTGGAACGCTCTTCCCACAACTGTAAAGGAAAGTAAAACTATACTTACCTTCAAAACCTCTCTTAAAGAGCACCTTCGGGG